ACACCGTCTGGTGCAATTGGATGCTCCCTTCCTGGGCCAGGGGAAGACACACACTGCATACACATACACTCTTGGATCGGCACTGGCTCCCCTTGGGGGCGCCCCCGGCGACGCGAGGTCTGACGCCGATCCAAATAACAGGGGATAACAGGGGATATGTCGACTCCTATCCCAGGCCTCGTGGGTCTTCGAATGGACCAGAAAGTTGGGGCCCAACCCTGGGATATACGATGGGGGGCGTCCATGATCGATAGCGGTGCATCCAAATAGCCCCCTTGGGGTGTATCCCCGGAGTTCCCCCCCTGGTCTGAACGGCCAATTTTTTTGGTGGGAGCTCGGGGACTGGGGGAGAAAAATCGCGTGCGACCAAAGCATCCGCGCGGACCAATTGGGCAATTTATGTTATGTATCGAAGGCTGGGGGGTGAGATCGCAAAGGAACGGAGACCCCCAACCGGGAAATCGTTTCGTCTCGTTCGTGTCGTGCGTGCGGGCGAGGCGAACCTGCGTGGGCGCGCGAGAGGAATGAACCCGCCGTTGCTAGGGCGAAATGAAGACAAATGTTGCTCCTCCGTCCGTCCGTCCATCCGTCCGGCGGTGGCTCGCGGTAACCCGCGGTGTCCCGTGGTGTCCGCCGTTGCTAGGGCGAAGACAAAACAAATGATTCTCCCCCTCCCGCCCGCCCGTCCGGCGGTGTCCCGCGGTGTCCCGCGGTGTCCCGCGGTGTCCCGTGGTGTCCGCCGTTGCTAGGGCGAAGTCAAGACAAATGATTCTCCCCCTCCCGCCCGCCCGTCCGACGGTGGCTCGCGGGTTCCCGCGGTGTCCCGCGGTGTCCCGTGGTGTCCCGTGGTGTCCCAAAAAGTGAGATCGATAGTGAGATCGATCATGAGATCGATGTGGTGTCCCGAGGTGTCCCGTAGTGTCCTGTTGAATGAGATCGATAATGAGATCGACAGGTGTCCCGTGGTGTCCCGTTGAGTGAGATCGATAGTGAGATTGATAGTCAGATCGATCATGAGATCGATGTGGTGCCCCGAGGTGTCCCGTGGTGTCCCAAACAACGAAATCGATAATGAGATCGATAATGAGATCGACAGGTGTCCCGTGATGTCACGTTGAGTGAGATCGACAGTGAGATCTATAATGAGATCGATGTGGTGTCCCGAGGTATCCCGAGGTGTCCTATGGTTTCCCGTTGAGTGTGATCGATAGTGAGATCGATATCGCGACCGATAATGAGATCGAGAGGTGTCCCGCGGTGTCCCGTGGTGTCCCGTTGAATGAGATCGATAGTGAGATCGTCAAGTGTCCCGTGGGGTCCCGTTGAGTGAAATCGAAAGTGAGATCGATTGAGTCAGATGTTGGTTCCCCCCCTCTCCCCCCTCACAACCTCCTCATAACCCGAAGGGTGGTCGTGTACGTAGGTATTTGTTCTTCGATGGGCCCTCATCAACTGTCACCTCCAACCAATTCTGCTGCAAGCCTATGCGCGGCTGATGTGGTGGGCTCAATGGTTGCCTTCAGGGCGTCGGCCCGAGGCAACAACCGCTTCTTTCACCAACCCTACTAACTAACACGTGTTCGGTGACGACGAGTTCGCATGCCCGCCGGACCCTAGCCCTGTTCAGGCAACTCTTCGCCTAGACACTACCAAATTCATGTGCAAAGCGAACCACAAACAGGTCCTTGCTGGCAAAGCCAGCGCCGTCTTCTACTGGCAAGTTTCCCAGTGCAGGTGGTCCTGCGCGCGAAGAACCGAATCCGCCCACCCCAAATCTAGGTCTCTCACTGTGCTCTGTGCTGACCACCTCCAAATAACACGGGTTCTAATTCCCTCTGGTATGCCTCCTTCGGTGAATCCTGCTCCGCACTGGCTGCTCGCGTCGCTCGAATTATGCTGGATGCGAACTTGCAGAATGAGCCGCAACGACCAGAGCAGAGAACGTATACGCAGAGGCAACACCAACATGCACGCACACGCCCCGAGTTCTGGACGCTCCTGGGGTGTGGCGCATTTTCCCGCGGACCAGTCGGATCTTGTCGCGTGACTTATCCTGAGGCCATGGGGCCACGCGGCCGCCCAAGGGCTCACACAACGACTGAAGAGAAACAGTCGCGCAGTACATACGAAAGCAAAGCCCATGCGGCGACGCACCCCCAGAATCCGATTGTCCACCTATTGGCATGAAACACGCTGGTCCTGAGAGAAACTGACGCTGGCCCCTCGGCTTCCCCGAAGACTAAATCTTCACGGCCGAATCGTTTTCTCGCGGCCCCCAAACTCGGGGAATGATCCAGCAATTAGCCTGGCGAAAGATCCAACCATGCGCAGTTGAGAGCGCCGCAATTGTGAATTTCGTCTTCGGTGGAGTTCCCTATGAGGCCAGGAACCGCGTGAGGAGTGCCGATGCATGGCGGGGAACGCAACGCGGAAGAAGACGATAGGTCGGATAACGAGAGCCTGAGAGCGGGTGAGTCTGAGCACGAGTGGGTCTGATTGTGCATGAATCTGCGTGCGGGGAAATCTACGTGGATGAATGTCGACGCCCGTATCGGCACCCCCCCTCGCGTGGATCGCCCCCGCTTCCTCCCGCTCTTTTTCTCCGTCTTTGCCCGCGCGCCCCAGTGCCCGAGGCTGCGGGCGCAGCGCAGCGCGGAGCCCCCGCGGCGCGCGCTGGTCGCCCCGAAGGGGTCCCAGCGACGAGCGCGGGTCGTCCGCTGCGCGGAGCAAATGAGCTTGCTGGCTGGCTGGGAGCGGGCAAGGCTCTGGGCGCCGGGCAGAGCGACGACGGGCGAACGAGGCGCTGGGCAGCGCGCGGCACGGAGTCCCCGCGAAGCGCGCTGGTCGCCCCGAAAGGGTCCCAGCGACGCGCACGGGTCGTCCGCGGCGCCCGGCCGAACTGTGGGACAGCCTGGATATGGCGCGGCTCGGGCGGGCCGCTCCCCAGGTCATGCCTCGCGGATAAACTCGGTGAAGCCCAGCTCCCTGGCGAGGGTCGTGGCCTCCCTCCTGCGCCGCTTCGTGCGCGCAGCAAACTGCTCCAACTGTTTCCGCAAGCCCGCTGGCGGCCCCGCCAGGAAGAACTCGATGCGTGGCGCCCGCATGAGCAGGAGGTCCTCGTGGCGCGTGGCGCGCGAGAGCAGCGCGTAAAGCTCCAGCCACCAGTCGTCGTCGTCGTCCTTCTTGCCGTTCCCGGTCTCGTGGCGGCTGCAGTCCAGGATCACGCCTGGGCGACGTCGGCCGAGGGAGCAGCGCGTGGGGCAGCCAACGGCTCAAGGCGAGAATCCACATAACCAAAAGAGGTATGGCTGCGGACCACTCCGTCCTCCTCAGAACTCCGACGGCCTCCGACGCAGGTGTCCGCATATCTCCGGACGCATCCCCGAAGCCCCCCGAGGCCACCAATGGGCCTGGAACGCCCTCGACAACTCTCGGGCAATAACGCCAGTAGCTCGGGCACCCAGGCTGGTTGCGGCGATCGCCCCTGGAACGCTGTCGGCGAGGCGCAGCTGCTGGGCTACACATCGCAGCCTTCAAAAACGAACGCATGGAACTAACCCCACCTTCGGAACGCCGCCACTGAGGCCTTCGGTGGAGCCCACGAAACGTGTCAAGGAGTGCCAAAATGGGGGCGACGGCTCCCTATGGGGCCACGACGCGCTGTCATGGGCGGGGGAGACGCATGCGGACTGCGCCACTGGGGCCTTCGGTGGAACTCCCTATGAGGCCACGAGACGCTGTCCTGGGCGGGGGGAACGCATGCGAACTGCGCCACTGGGGCCTTCGGTGGAACTCCCTGTGGGGCCACGAAACGCTGTCCTGGGCCGGGGAGACGCATGCGAACTGCGCCCCTGGGCCTTCGGTGGGGATCCCTATGGGGTCACGAAACGCTGTCCCGGGCGGGGGAGACGCATGCGAACTGCGCCACTGGGACTTCGGTTGCATTCCCTATGAGGCCACGACGCGCTGTCCTGGATGGGGGAGACGCATGCGAACTGTGCCACTGGGACCTTGGGTGGAGCTCCCTATGGGGCCACGGAACGCTGTCTTGGGCGGGGGAGACGCATGCGAACTGCGTCACTGGGACCCTCGGTGGGGCTCCCTATGGGGCCACAAAACATTGTCCTGGGCGGGGGAGACGCATGCGAACTGCGCCACTGGGACCTTAGGTGGCGCTCCCTATGGGGCCACGAAGCGCTGTACTGGGTGGGGGAGACGCATGCGAACTGCGCCACGGGGACCTTCGGTGGAGCTCCCTATGGGGCCACGAAACATGTAAGGGGTGTGCCGAAGCTGATAGCGATGATTGTGACGATGACGGAGATGATGATAACGACGATGGTGACTGCGACGATGACGATGATGACGACGATGATGCTGATGCTGATGGTGATGACGATGATGATGATGATGATGTTGTTGATGATGATACTGGTGATGATGATGATGATGATGATGATGATGATGATGATGATGATGATGATGATGCTGATGCTGATGCTGATGATGATGATCATGGAAAGAGGGAGGAGGGGGAGGAGGAAGGAGAGGAACGCGGGGCACCGTCTCTTCAAAACGAGGACCCAACACCACAGGATGGTTGCGTGACGATGACGAGGAGGAGGGAGGAGGGGAGGAGGAGAGGAGGAGGAGAGGACGCGGGGCGCTGTCTCTTCAAAACGAGGACCCAACACCACAGGATGGTTGGGAAAAAGACAGCCTCAGGACCCGTTTCCCTCAAGATCCCCTTGCTTCATGGCGATCCACGGTTCGGCGGTCGAACATCGAAGCCAGTACCAGCCTGGGGGGCGCTGAGACCTGAATTTCGATGGGAATCCCGCCGTGGCCACGAGGACGCCCCAGGAGGCCCCAAACAATCCAAGAATGTGCGAAACCCGGAATCTCGATCCTCGAAGTGGCGACAGGTTGAAACTAACATTCCTTCATGGCGAACCCTCTCCTCGCCTCTCGAGCTCGGGTCCTGGTCGACAGCTAGTCTCCTAGCATCTGCACATGGCCCCCGAGTTGCTCACCTCGGTCACCATCGGGTCTTGTGCCTAGGCCGGAGCGATGGCTCGATGGATTCGAAGGAGGGTACTGCTCTCCATCGCCCAGTGGGCAGGATGACGGCCATGATCGCCAGAACCATTCCAACCCGACCAGGACAAGGCAAGGTAGCTCCCCCAGCGTGCCCCCTCTAAGCGGGGATGGGTGTTGCAATGCATTTCGACTGGCGAATACAAGTCAGATCGCCTTGACGCCAGAACAAACCCTACATATACACCAAAACCTCATGATAAAACACATTGTCGGCACGGCACGGCACACGAGCAAGGCACGGATATATATATATATATATATATATATATATATATTATATATACATATATATATACAGAGAGAGATAGAGACACATACATACATGAACATATTTATATACATATATATATATATATATATATACAAGGTTGCAACGGCGCTTCGCGCCATGCACCCTGGTCCTTGAAGTTTGGCACGCAGGCGGAAAAGCAGGAAACTCAAACCGACAATTTAGCGATAACTCCGCTATAATAATGTTATTCGTTTTCCTTCCTCCACGCTTCTTCTTCCTCATTTTCGCCATACCCTGCGCATTCTCCCCATCCTCCTCAGCTCTTTCTTGCGGAGGTTCCTCCTTGGAGAGCCTCTAGGGGCCTCACAAAAGTTGTTTGCGGTTTTCTTAAGGCCTTCTGGAGGCCTCCTGGGCGTATTCTGGGGGCCTCCGGGGGCTTCCTCGGGCCACCCTGCCTCCAACCGCGGTCTCCCTGAACGACCGGGTCACGATGTGGAATTCTTCGGAAGGTGTCTTTGGGCCATCTTGGGCCGCCATGGGGCTCTCAGAGGGCCATCTTGGACCCGTATTGTGCCGTTTTGGGGCTTTCGTGGACTGCCTGGAAGCCTTTTTCGTATAGTTGTGGGGCGATTTTGGAAGGGCGATCAGGCGGCTTCGGACGCCCAGAAGACCGCCGTCTTGGAGTGTCGGGAAGTCGAAAAGAGGAGAACCCCCAAATTCACCAAAAGCCAACAGAAAATCAATCATTCTTGCCTCGGGGGGACTTCTTGGGAGTGCTCTTGGAGGCCTCTTTGGGGCCGTCCTGGAGACCTCTTAGGCCATCTTGAGGTCACGTCGGTCACTCTTGGAGCGCTCTTGTGCTGTCTTGGGGGTCTCTGGGACGTCTCCGATGACCCCCCTGATCGCCCTAGGTGTGCTGGGAAGGCTTGGCAAAGCGCCCTGCGAGGCCCGGTGGCCGCTTCGAGGCCCGTCCGGAAGGTCCCAAAACCCCAGATCCCGGGAATCTGTTTTTTTGAAGGGGGGGGCGGGTTTTCCCCCCGCCCGGGCTTACAAAAACATAGGACAAGGAATGTGTGTATACATATATATATATACACATATACATATATATAGATATAAGATGCTACTGCGTATCGTCCGTCATAGCGAGAGCTGTGACACGATCCAAACTTGACGACCCCAGGGTTGCAGCGAAAAGGGTTGGGCGAGTCTGAAGTGACTCGAAACTGTAAGCGGGTGGAAGCACAAAAACACGGGGCTACGGAGAGAATGCTGCAGTGACAATGGGATAAGCCTCTCTCAACCTTCAACGCTGGCACAAACTGTTCTTCTGAGCGCTTTTCCAGAAGCGACAAAGGGATAAATCACTCTCGACCTTCACGCGCAAGCACAGACAGTTCTGCATGCTTGCTCCAGGCGGTGAACAACTCTGCTACTGCGTATCGTCCGTCATAGCGAGAGCTGTGACACGATCCAAACTTGACAACCCCGAGCCCGAATGGTTCACAGGGTGGCACTGGGTTGGCTTTCAAAAAGCGACTTCTGTAAGTGGCTAGCACACGCGAGCCTAGAGGGGGCCAGAAGCGTCTGTACCATTAAATCGGCAAGCTTCCTGGGGTAGGCGGCAGCGGTAGCTGTCCATTTCACGCCCGGAGAAGCTAGCCATTCTAGGATTATATGTTGTTTCCCGGAAAAGGAGCAGCATCCCCGGGGGCCTCGAGAGAGCCTTGAGAGCTTTGAGAGGTCCTCGGGGAACACATTGAAAAAGAAAAGTTTGGTTCGCTTCCTCCATCTAGCTCCATGCCCACACTGGTCTAAAGTCACAAACAAACCGTTATATCGCCGAGCCAAACGGACCAGCTCGGGCGTGTGCCATATTCGCGAATTGACCGGATGTTCTAATATAGCGGGTGCGCGTGAGCGACATAATATTCGCAACAGCCACGGCGCAGCACGAACAGTCTGATTGCCAAGGCGCAATCTCTCACGTTGACGAGGGGTCAGATTTTGCCACGGTAGTCCCCATGGTTCATTCTATGAGCGAGTCTTCTGCCCCCCGCGCTCGGCAGCTACACCCCGGGGCCCGCGCGGAGGCGCAAGACTGGCTGCAGCTGCCTCGCCTCGCAGGACTTGAGACTGGATGTGCTCGCGAACGCGGCGGCGGCATAGGTCCTCGTCGGCCCCCCTCGCAGAGTCACGCCCCCCAACGCCCAGCAAGTGAAGGCTGACAGGGCGCGGGCGTCGCAGCACGATGTCCGCGAGATGTCTCTCGCACAGCTCGCAGACGATCTGAAGCCTCGTGGAGCCTGGCCCAGCTCTCTCCTAGCCTGGCCCCCTTCTCGTAGCGGATCGTTGATCTGATTTGCTTCCATCGCCCCCGACGCTGGACCTCCTCCGCCGCGCGCCAGCCCCTCGACGCATCTATGGAGGGACCGCTGTGGCGCGTCTGGTAGGGGATGATCCTGTCCTCTAGGCCCAGCTCCTTCACGCTGCTCTGGAAGGCACGCATGTAGGCCAGATGCTCGAATGTGAACACGAGGCCGTCGGGATCGCCCTTGATCAGCAGCGGCCATAGCGGAGTCAGGCACTGCGCCCATGTGCTGTCGAGGGCAATGCGCACGTCCACCAGGCCCGTTTTCGACCTCTCGAGGCGGTCGTTGGGGAAGAGGAGGATGCTCCAGTTCTTGGAGACGCCGGGCGTGGGCCTGATGAGCCCTCCTCCTCAGCCCCGTGAGCTCCCCGGGGCGGCAGCGTGCACTGAGCGAGAGCAAGGAGAACGCGCACATCAGCAGCCCTTGGGTCGCGTCTAGGCGCCGCGCCAGGGCGGCCCAGACTCCCAAGGCCCACGCCCGGCGGCTGCGAGCGGGCGCTCGCTTGCGCCAGCCTCGCAGCGCTCGCCAGGCATTGGGCAGCTTCTGGGGGCCCCACTTGCCGAACTCTGGCCTCGAGTACATGAGGCCAGCTAAGGCCTGCTCTCCCTTGGCCGCCCCGTGGCCGTGGAAAAGCTGGCAGTTGAAATGCTGGGAGAGCGCCGCGTCCACTTGGGTAGATGATCTCAGCGCAAAGGTCGGGGGGCGGTCGCAGTAGCCTATGAACTCCATCACCTCCCTCTCGCACCGCTCCCGCACCGGCTTCGCGACGCTGCTGACCTCGAGGAAGTTGAGTCCGCCGTCCATGGCCCTGGTCGCCGGCTCCGACAGGAACTTTGACCGCCGCTGGCGAGCCTTCTTCCTCAGCGCCGCCGCCCGCTTCGGAACGGCGCGCTTGCCTCCGCTCTGCTCGCTCGTGGTGCTGCCGCTGTCGCGACTTCGTTGCAGCCGCCCGCGTCTATCTGCGCCCGCTTGCGCCCTGCAGCGGATTGTCGCAGAGCTGGCGGGCTCAGCCCCAGCCTCGCCCCCCGCGCGGGCCGCGGGATCAGGCGGGATCAGGCGCGAGACTAGGCCCCCATGGGCGTCCTCGTGGGTCAGGCGTGCCTCTCGCCTGGGGCCCCGGCGAGCGCGGGTCGCGCAGGCCCCTCGGCGGACCATCCTCGGACAGAACGGCGTGAGCCAAAATGTTTACGGAGGAGCCACCAGTGGCGGAAGCGGGGGAGAGTACGTGTGGAGCATTACTGTCAGGAAACTAGAAGGGATAGGGCTTATTATTGTCATTCTTCTCCGCCCTCAAAAAAACAGCGAAACCTGGCGTCTAGCTCGTCTACCAAAAGATTGCTTGATTCGGGCCCGCTGGACACCCTGGAACCCAGGTCCGAAACGTTGAACTCAGATGGGATCCAGCGGACCAGAAATTGCATGTTCCTAGAGAGGCAATCGGCCTGGATGCGTCGGGCGATGGCGAGCAGCCTGAATTCGTGGCACCTGCTACGACTGCTGGCAAGGACAACTGACGTATTATCACCTAGAATCAACTGCCTCGAATCGTGGGCTCTCTGGAAGAGAGCACAGCGCTTGACGGCCACGAGGACCACCCGTGCTTCCATCGGAAGAATGCTTTCATCGAACAACCACTTGCGTACATAGCAGGTGCGCCAGAGACTGGACGCGAGGAGCCTGGCGGGCACCTCGGCAAAACTAGAGTCTAGCGCCCAGGCGCCCTCGCGCCCTCGGTTATCGGGTCTGCGTCCGAGTCGGACACCTGCCACTTGCCCGACGGGTCGCGCCAGAAGCCTGCGGCCTCCAGGGCAGACTCGCGGGCCCCGCAGCCACTAGACCGCTTGGAGCGCGAGCGCTCCAGCACCCGGCCCACGGCGGAGACATCCCCCGGGCCCCGCATGGCCTTGGCGACGCCCATCCCCATCGACGGAGCTATCAATCTCGAAAACCATCGGGTTCCACGGCCGCACACAGTCGCTCTCCAGGAACAGCATGAGCCCCTAGAGCGCGCGAAGCTCCTGTAGGCAGTCATCCCAGATGTAGCCGGCCCCGTCGCGATACTTGTGCATGAAAGCGCGCGCCGTTTGCCGCGCCGAGAGGCATCCTCGGTTGGCGAGGCTGGCGAAGGCGCAGTGGCCGACCAACACCTCCAGTGCTCAACCCGAGCACTTCGGGCGTCGAAGGAGAGCCTCGATGGCACGGCGGATCAGCCACCATCGCTCCGAGGTCACTCGCGATCGGAGGCCCCCACCCTGCAGCTCGACGCCCAGCGTCTTGCACTTCCCGTCGGTCACCGCGGACTCGTGCAACACCAAACCCAGCTCGGCGAAGTGGCGCTGCAAAGCCGAGATGGCCTCCCAGACCTCGTAGCGCCTGGTGCGCAGGATCCCGAGGTTGTCGACGTGCACGTAGTGCTGCGCCTGACCTGCGGCCGTCTCTGGCGGCAGCACCATCATGGGGCGGCCCTCTGTCATGGAGGGGGGCCCCCAGAGGAGTAGAGGCGCCTCGCAAGGTCTGCATCTCGTTGATGCGCTGGGCAAACCAGAGTCTCCAGGTGAACCCCATCGGCAGCGCAGCCCCGGCTGGATACGCTGGCGAGGTTCTTCTCAGGCGCCGACCTCCAGCCATAGTCCCCTCGAGCCCGAAGACGTGCGCAGGGGCCGCGGGCAGCCCGAAGTACGCGGACATCTCGGGCCTCAGCTTCAGGCAGTGGAAGCAGTTGGCCACGTCCGACGTGCCCGCCGCGAGCTTGAGCTTGCTAAGGTACTCCACCGCCTCCGGGCTCTGTGGCGCCACGCCGGCCGGCAGCGCCACCTCGCCTCGGCTGAAGCCCTCGGCCGTCAGCAGGCCCACTCCAGGAGGGTCAGCGAAGACCTCGTTCACACGACGAGCGTCGACGATCAATCGGAGCGACTTGCCATCACTCTTGAGAACGCAGAACAACCCTATCCGACACTTCGGGCTCGCAGTCCAGTCGACCATGCCGATGTCCAACAGATTCCGAACTAGACGCTGGTATTCCTTCTGGTGGAACTTTAATTTGGGGCCCAAGTGCGGCTCGATCTTGGGCCAGACGTCATCTTGCCCCAGCATGCGCTCTTGATAATCCAACGAGTATTTAGCGACCTCCTGTGGGGCTACCTCGTCAGCATAAGGGCAGCTCCGAACGGACTTTGGCAAGGACATGCGGTCGAGCTTGAAAAGCGCGACGCGAGTGGCGGCCACCCCCGCCTCAGACGGCGCGCGGCCGCGCAGCATCCGCTTGAGGGCTGCCGTCGCTGAGGGGGCGAAGTTCGGGCGCCGGCCCGATGCCGATCCTCGAACTCGCTAATGGAGAAGCAGCTGGGCATCATCCATGGGAAGGGGCCTCTCGCCCGCTCGATGTTCTGCCAGCCAATTGGGCGCGCTGATCGCCTCATTCGCCACACCGATCTCCAGCTGCTCTCTGCGCCTCGCCCTCGCGGCCCCCGCCGAGGCGGCCGCCGGCGGCGGCGGCGCGTCCAGCAGGGGCGCAGGGGAGAGATCTCGTGGCCCTCGAACGGCCGCGACGCGGCCTGGGGCGGCCCCGAGAGCCCGGCCGAGGTCGGGGCTCTCCTCGGCCAGCCCCCTGCTCACACCGCAGCGGGGGGGGCGCCAGGCCCGCGGCCTCTGTCGCCACGTCCGCGCCCGCCCCCGCCACGACCTCCCCCGCCGCGACCCCCATCCACCGTCGCCTCCGCCGTCGGCTCCGCCGCCAGCAGAGCCTCCGGCACCGTGCTCGGCTGGAGACGCGCGCAGCCCGCCAGCACCGGTCTCGCGATCCTCCGTGGCCCGCCGGGGCGCAAAGCTGCGCATCTCGGGGCCGACGACGTCCTCGGCCGACAGCTGGCCAGTGTAGTAGCGGGTCAGGTCCCAGGCAGACTTGGCTGGATTGGCGTAGGCAGCCATGATGCCCGCCATGCGCCGACATATTGCCTCGATGCACAGCAAGCCGCCGATGTTGACCTGGTCCACTGTTCCAGCGAGCCAGAGGGACTCCACGAGGGTCCGCATCTCATGTGCAACTCGGTCCGTCCCGGCGATTCCCTTTTCTCGCATCCACTCGCGCAGCCACAAGCGAGGGCCCCCTCCAGTCTGCAGCATACGCTTGTACATCGCGAGCGCAACCGGGGGGCCCTCCATGCGCTGCGACTCGTTGGTCTCGCTACTGCTATCTTGGACCACTTGCTTCCAAGACTTGTAGCGTTCGCCCTGGCCGTCATAGTCGATCACCATAGTCCGCAGATCGCCAGTCTCGACTGCCGCCTCGGCGGCGGCGGCTGGCGGGGGGGTGGCGGCCCCGTCCGGGGCCTCGGGCAAAGCCCGGCCCAGGCGGTCGCGGAGGTCGGACTCGTCAAAGCCTGGCTCTTCCCTGGTGATCCCCAGGCTCTCCTTCAGCTCGTCGGCGCGATGCTTCGTGTAGCCTGGGACCGCCTCGGGGGCCATCCCCTCGACGCGCCGCCAACGGTCGTCCAGCTTCGCGACGCCGTCGAGGCCGCCGGGCGTCCGCAGCACCTGCGCACCGCCGTCGATTTCCGTGCCGATGGTGCGTCGGCCGGTGGGCTCCGCCAGCACCCAAATGTAGCCCTCGGCCACATCCGCGACAGCCGCGAGCTGGTCCGACGGCGCGGCGGGCGGCGGAGCCAGCGGGGGGCGGCCGTCGCACCCTGCAGGGGCGGCCGCGGGCCTGGCTGGTCGCCTCGCCGAGGCGGCGGCGGCCGCCTTGGGAGAGACCTTCCCTGGCGTCCGACGCGTCACCAGCAGGCCTGGCGCGAAGTCCTCCAGCAACACTCGCTCGCACGCGGGGGTCTGAACTGTCATCACCTCGGGGGTCTCGCGGCCGAGCTCGGTACGCACAACCGATCGGCCGTCTCGGAGCAGCTCTCTCAGTCCATCGGCGTCAGGGTACTCGCGGAAACGGTAGACCTTCATCGGGAACGTGGCCGGCACAGTGCCGACATCATCGAGCGGGAAGGTGTCGGCCACTCCCCAATCTTCGTCTCTCGTCAGTGGCTCGATATAGACGTCTCCGTCTGGCGACATGATACACCACTTCTTTCTATCCACGGGCCACAACATAAGTCTCTCGTGGGCGACCTCGTCATCCGTGAACGTCGTCACGATGAGGCCGCCCGGCACCAGGTCACGCAACCACGCCGCCCCCGCGTCGCGTCGGAGCAGAGCCATGGCTGCAGCGACCCCGCCCGCACAAAACCTTCACGGACCGCCAGATCAATTGGCCGACGAGCACCGTCTAGCCCCTGCCCACACACACACACACGACCACGGGTCGGGCGTCTCCGGGCACGGTGGTGCTCTCGGGCAAGGTGGACACGTGACCTCTGGACAGACAAACGCCTCCTGCTCGTGGCCCTCCGCAGCCGCCTCGGGCACGGGCGACCACCAGTCGGCCAGCAGTCCTCGCGTTAGCTGGCCCGCCTCGGCGGCGAGGATGGCCCAAACGGGGTAGAGGGCGCGCTCAGGACGGTTTGCAGGGACGATCTCGCCCATGCCCCGTGGGGCCCCTTCGAGCACAAAAACAGGGGGCTACGGAGAGAACGCTGAAATGACAATGGGATAAGCCTCTCTCAACCTTCAACGCTGGCACAAACGGTTCTTCTGAGTGCTTTTCCAGAAGCGACAAGGGGATAAATCACTCTCGACCTTCACGCGCAAACACACACACATATAATATATATATATAACATACATATATATGTATATATATATATGTATTTATACATATATATATATACACATACATACATGTATCCCGCATTCCAGAAACTGGGCACGGCAAGGGGCGGCACGCCCACATTCTGGAACACAAGCATGGCACAGTACGCGGGCACGGCAAGGCACAACGCAAGCACCAACACGGCACGGCACACGGAACAACACACCCCGGCACGCGGGCAACATACGGCACGGCACGGCACGGGCACGCCCCGGCACGCGGGCACGGGCCGGCACGCGGGCACGGCCCGGCACGCGGGCGTCAAGCTTGTCGCATCCTAAAGCCGAACGCACGGCCCAGCACGGCACGGCAGCACGCACGACACGAACACCTGTTCGTGGTCTGTGAGTCTGGGCATAGCGCGGCATGGCACGGCACGCGGCCACAGCACGGCACGGCGCGCAGGCGGCAACTGTCGCATTCGAGAACCTACGCACGGCTCGTCACGGCACGCGTGCACGGCACGGTGAGCGGCCAACTTTCGCAACTTAGAATCTAGGCCCAGCACGGCCAAGCACAGCACGGCACGCAGGCAGGAACGTTGCCGCATTCTAGAACCCAAGAGCGGCATGGCACGGCGCGCGCACGGCACAGAACAACGGCACGGCCAACGGCCACTTTTCGCATTTTATAACCGAGGCACACAACCGCACGGTACCGCACGCGACCACGGCACGACACGCGAGTGGCAACTGTGTTGCGTTCTAGGGACCTAGGCACGTCCTGGCATGCGGGTGCGGCACGGCACGCGGTAACTCTCTTCGCATTCTGGGATCAAGACTATCACTTCCCAAGAGCATGTTTAAACCCTGCAGCATTCCATACTCAGGGAACACAAACAAAAACACAAAGGTATGTTCGAATCGCTGTGGGTCCCCAGAACCATGCACAAAACGGGTAACGCACAGCGCGTGCTGTCAATAGTAAACTAGAGTAACCCACCATGGGGCCAGGGGTCGTGGTAGGAGACCATGAGAGGTTGCGACTAATATCTTATCGCAACGTAACGCAAACCATCGCCAACAACGCATGTTTCTATCGCTGGCATAGAACGCCGTTATCAGACCACATGACTTCCTTCCACTGGCTTGTACCTGTCAAACCCACTCACTATCTTGGATCAAAACGGCTCAAGACACATGCCCCATCGGAGTTCCTGGCGCACCTTACAGATTCAAAGGACCCCCCGAAGCGGGCGCCATCTTAATCTAAGTATCATTAAACGAATGTCCAACATGTTCTCCAAGAGACAGACACGTTTGAAGCACCGAAACAGCTGAGCCCCCATGTGCCCAACATAGGCCCTAATGCGGCGACAGGTGAGAAACCCACAAAGGCATCAACATTGTCCCGAGGGTCCTCCAAATGGCACATGGCTGCAAAAGCCACCAATCGGCTCAAGGTGGATAGGGCCCAAGAGAGCCCCCGCTTTTAAAACCCCAGCATGGCCGCAACAGGCTGGCAACTGGGCCCCACTCAGCCCCATGGCACCGTCCATCTGGGAGGCATGAGCCCGCTTTGGGACCTGTCCCAGGTCCCCC